CTGAGGCCAAAATGCGGCTGTCAGCTCCAGTGATGATTACCTAGAAGCAGCCAAGTCTCCCAAGCTACCTTCATTCTGGGCAAACAAAGAGGAACCTGCAGGCTGGTGGCCCAGGATGGCAGCCAGGGCTCTGGACATGGGCACTGTAAGTAGGACTCCAACCCTAAGAGGGACTGTGGGGAGGTGTGGGTGGGGAGGTGCAGGATGGCATGGTGGGTTAGGAGAGACAGTCAGGTGGAGACGTGGGGTGGCATAGAGGATTGAATGGGGACAGCCGGGTGGGGATGTGGCATGGAGGGCTACAGCCCAGAGGTGTGACCTGGTAAACTATGCCCCACTTCTGACAGGACCTACTGTGGAGCAGGCCCACAAACTAGGCAGACCACGCTCAAGGTCCTGAAAACTTCTGCAGGGTGACCTAACAGAGTACCTGACTGTCCTTCCCTCCCCTCCCAGAGGTGCCAGCCCAGCCCTGGGGGACACTCCTAGGCTCTGCCTAAGGCTGCGCCTCCATTCCCCAGTCTGACAGTCCAGATGGAGCTGGGTGGGTCTGCAGCAGGAGCCTCAGGAGTTCAACTGTGGCCAGAATAGTGCAGCCACCTGCCCTCTGGGACTCTCAGCCCACAGCAGACTGGAATGAGACCCAGAGCGGAGGCTCTGGAGAGAGAGAGGTGCCTCGGGTGTACAACATGTCCCAGGAGGATAACCCTTCCTTCTCAATGAGGGGCTGCAGAAGGCAGCATCCAGATGGAAGAAGTAGAACCCCCAAGCGTCTGCTTCCAAAAGAAGTGTCTAAACCAGATCCCTGGGCCAGGCTGCTCAGGCAGCCCTGAACGAGGCTCCTCAGCCCTCAGCAGGAATGGGGTGCGTCTAGGACATTCTTGCTGAGCTTACAATAAAGGTGCAATCATACCTGCATGGAAGCCACTTGCTTGCACTGCTGGTCTCATGTGACCTCCTCCAGAGTGAGTGGCAGGTCAGGTGAGCAGGACACACCTGCCAGGTGTCCTGCCAAGGAAGGCACAGGTGCTCCACATCAGGGAGCCCCAGCCCCATAAGCTGTGTTCACTCACCAGGAAGCCCGAGGTGCTGTCCAACAGGCAGCGCACGCGACAGACAAAGCAGCGGGTCAGGAATGCTGCAAACTCTGCAGGGGAGCCTGCGGCTCCCTCCTGGGCCCTGAGCAGCCTGCCCAGGACAGCGTCTTCTCCTGGTCAGATGGAAAAGTCAAACACTGGTCTGGCAGCAACACAGAGCAGGCCATGCCCGCCTCACCCCCAACCCCTCACCCTGGAGATTCTGCTCCACTGAATTTTGCTTTGTCTCTTGCCTTTAAAAACATGTTTTTAGTGCATGTGCACACATGACTGCCTTATTCAGTTTTGCTTGTTTTGAGCTCTGTAAAGTGGGAGTTGTGGGATTTGCTTTCTGCACTCAACTTTATAAGGTCAATCGTGCTGCTGCATGATGTTCTTCAAGGCTTCTGTGGTTGTGTGTGACAGAGCCAGGAAGGAGGCCTCTGCTGGGGCCTGGTTGGATACTGTCTCCCAGGGCCCAGATGCAACTGTGCCATCTCAGAGGGTAACACCAGCTGGGCTGGTCTTACTGGCCAGAATCCGAAGATTTGCTGGGGGTGGGGATGAACGGTTTGCAGGGGGATCTTGTCCACAAAGGGGCAACTACCTCTCAAAAGCAGCCAGGGCTACAAACATCAGGACCCTCCCAAGGAGCTGGGGGCAGACAGTGTGGGGATGTGGGCAGAGGTCTCTAAGGAAGGTGAGATTCTGTATGGGCCTAACAGGACAGAGACATAAAACAAGCAGGCAAGACCACATGGCTTCCTCAATGGCATTCATGTGTATTCACTGGCCCACCTGCATCTGAGGGCAGGGGCTGGCCACATGAGGCCCGGGGAGGGTCCATGGCCCAGTGGAGCTGCCGGCTGAAGTCTTGACGGTCATCCACATGGATGTAGTCATAGATGTTCTGGTGCATCACATCCGTCTGAAACATGGAGACAAGGTTATTGGAACCTTACCCTAAATCGATGTGCACGCTTTATTCCACTGATTAATAATGAAAACATGTCCATGTCCATCTGACAAAAGCAGGTCACATCCATGAAGAAAAAGTCCCACGGAAGAGCAAGAGCTGGGCCCTGAAGTCCAACACACTAGCTCTTGGATGCACCCACATGGGTCTGGGGTGTACAGCCTGGCATACTTCAGAGGCCTCCTCAGTCCCTGCCCACCCACCCGCCCATTGGTGGTACCTGTGTGCAAGCAGAGTAGGAGGCTCAGAGCTGGGTCAGGATAGGGCTGAGACACCCAATTCCCTATATCATTTCATGTCTCAGGGCACCCAGACTTCAACCTGTGTCCATATTCACAGTGCCACCAGGACCCTCCAATTCACAGGCCTCTCTCCTGACCACTCTCCTCCTACCTGCTGGGACATAAGCCCTAGCCCTAATGCAGAGGACAACCCTTGCAGCCACTGAGACCACGTTTGATAGACAGAGGCCAAAACCACAGGCTACAAGGACTGACTTCAGGTGGGACTCAACTGTTGCCCTGTCAGGAAAAATGTCTGACGTGTTAGGGACACAGGGGCTGGACCTGTGCTTATTGCCTCTCTGCTTTGTAACCGAAGATGTCACCTCCACCATGAAGCCAGCCGGCAATAGCCTGGATAACTGACCCAGCAGGGACCATGGGATCTCAGTGAGACTCAGCTGTTGCAGGCAGCCACCTCTTCAGTCCTGTCATTTCTATACTAGCCTACTATAACTGGATGAGTCTTACAAGGAGGAAAAGCTCCTCATGAGTCAAGATCTCACAAGCAGGGTTACCATTTGAGAACATAGCTCACCCAGACTAGGAAAGACCCACCACCTTCTCAAGGAGGCCTCTCTGCTGCCCGTGGCTCATGTGACCTCATAGGTGAATAATCTACCTTAGACGAGACACAACCTCAGGAAGGCAGGAAAAGATGCAAACAAACTACAGTAGCTAGATTCTAAGCATGTGTACACAGTCTACAGATAACAAGTTCTCATAGCAGAAGCGGCCCCATGGAGTACAGGGAGGAGTGGAGGGCGGTCATGCGTCACATGGAGTCCAGGGGGAAAAGAAAGTCCTGTCAGGCTGCCTAGGGTCAGGGGCTCTATAGGTAAAGGTGGGACCCAATGACAGAGATGACTTTCTGGTGGAGACAGAGGTACCAAGCCTTCTCCCAGCCCATGTTTGGCAGCTCCCACCTGACCTAAGGCCCCATGAGCACAGGTGAGTCTCTCATAGGGTTGTTTCCCTACACACTTCTGGGGTTAAAGCACAGGATATAGGCTGAAAGTGCCCAAATCATAAACGCATCTTAAAGAAGATGCCCCATGTAGCTATCATGCAGACCAGGGCACAGAACATCCATATCACACACAAGCCCCTTCTGCCTCCAGATCATGGTCAGTGTCACATGCTGTAGGCTGCTTGGGCAGGACACAAATGGGACAAAGTATCTGTTGTCCCTTGCCCAGTGTTACAGTTGTGATAGACACCCAAGCTATGCACATGGCAGCAGCTTTCCACTCACGTTGTTTACTGTACCCACTGTATGAATACACCACAGCTGCTCAGTCCAGCCTAGTGCCAATGGGCATGGGTTTCTCCCCATTTGGGCCCATTGCAAAGGTTGGTGATATGTCTGGGAGGGCTGTGCTGCTGGGCACACCTGGGAGGGGATTCTGGCAGCACAGGGTAGGCAGACATTCAGCTTCACCTCAGCAAGTGACTCAAGCAGTGACAGCAAAAGCACACTTGTGCTAAGGTGGCACACACTGGCCTTGGCATGCCCTAGCATGCTCCAGTACCTGGCATAGCCTGTACTGCGTGGGCCACTGTGGTGGACACCCAGTGGTTTCTTATTCTTATTGTGATTTTAGTTTGTTCATCATGAAGACCAATAAGAATAAGCATCTCAGATAGTTATTGGTATTAGATACGTTCATGAATGTAAACATGAGTGTACGCATAATTCTGTGTGTATTTGTGTGCACATATGCTGCCTGTGTGGTGTTTACAAATTTTCATGACTGGTCAGCACTTTCAGTCTATCTGGACATGGGTCCTTTGCTGGACGTGTCCTGCACCTGCCCTCTCAACAAACGCAAGCACAGTCCAACTTATCAGTCTTTTCTGCATGGGTGGAGCTGTCTGTCCTGCTTCAGAAATCTCTCCTCACAGATCTCCCACCTCTGTCCTTATAGCATCTAGAGACATCTACTGGCCACCTTACAGTCACTCTGCGTATAGGGCAAGGGAGCTGTCATATTCATCTTCCCCAGATGGATGTGGTTCATCCAGCAACATATATTGGGAAGACCACCCCCCCACACACACAGTGCTGGGAGGTGCATCTGTGTCTGAACCCTGCTTCTGCATGCAGGTCTGTCTTCCCTGCATGGACCCCACACTGTCTGAGTTGCTGATTTAACAGGAGGTCTTGCTTCTGGAATAACAAGTCTCCTGGAAACCACCATCTCTTGCTATCTTTTCTCTTTCTCTAGATGGTCTTGGATATTCACAGTCCTCTGCCTTTCTGTGTAAATTTTAGAATTGACTAGTCAATGTCTACCAAATAGTTGCTCAGTTTTTATTGTAATTTCATTAACTCTATAACTTGATTTAAAGAAAACTAAATGACTACATCATTATGAGCCCTCAATCCATGAATATGGCATATCACTCAATTAAATTCTTACATTTTCTCTGTGGAGATACTACATATCATATGGTAGACTCATTCCTGACATTTTGATGTTTTTAACCCTCCTGTAGTCAGCATTTTTCTCCATGATTCTGAGTAAAGGACAAGACTGTGTCAACCTCCTAGTGTTATTGAGTCTTAATTCTCACAGCAAATTAATAAACGGGCACTGTGACTCACACACACTTTCTTGGGAGCTTTTTGGGTGGCTCCCCAAAGGTGGTAACTCCACAGGGCCCTCTCTGTAGCCAGCAGCTCCCAAGAATGCCTGTAATCATCCTGGCACCTCTGCTGGTGAAGGAAAGAGAATGACATTCAAGAGGGGTCTGCAGCTGAGGTAAAATGGGAGACAAGTCTACTTGGAGGAATCCAAAATAAAACTGGAAAAGGTATTCTGAATGTGACAAATTTGAGAACAGGATGAAATGTAAATACTTTTAGGCTGAGGAAGCAAAGTTCTGTATTTTAATAATTTGTGTGGCACCTCTGACCTCCCTAAGTCTTTCTTAATCTTGTAGGGTCTGATTCTACATACTCACGCCAGGAATCACTGGTGAGAGGAATGGCACACAAACAAATGCTACTTTCCCCATGTAATGGCAGGGTGCATCTTAGCTTTACACCACCTTTTGTGGAGTTTGTAATAGAACCATTTCCAATTTTAATAAACTGCTCATTCTAGCAGCTACCATTTCTACCTTTTTGTGCAAAAGTGTGCATATATCCCCTGGCCAAGCTTGTGGGCTATAAGCACGCTGACCTTTGGGTTGTAACTGTCCTTTTGGTCCATGTAAGGATGGCTGCCCCTGTCTAGTGACATTTGAGGGGATAGATATCTTATTGAATCAATAAATGTCAATGGTGACAAAAATATACATCTAATACTCATTTATTCATCACAGAGCATGTTGAACTTGAAGATGTTGAAATAATGTACTCAGGCTGTGATAGAAAGTAAAAATTGGTTCCTGACTTTTTGTAAAGCATTTTGCACATGAATCTCACAAAAGCACAAAGCCATTCTAATATTTTTATGAATATTTTGCATAAACTAGAGGCTATGCTTTCTTTATAATAAAGGCAAAACACTTTCTTACTTCTAATGCTTGAAGAAAAATAATCAAGCTCTGAGAAAATAATAGATACAGTTAGCAAGTTAAGACCTAGAATCCTAGCTGCTCTGTGCAACAGTTGGGGTTAGGGTTAGAGTTGGGGTTGGGGTTGCTACTGTCCCAGTAGCCAAGCCCTGTGGGTGAGACCCATGAGTCATAGGAGAGGCTCTGGTCTGCAGAGTTAATGGGACAACTTGAGGAACAGTGACTAGAACCATGACCATGTGGAAGGAAGACCACATGACTCCTCTAATTCAGACTCTGCACATGCAAATGCAACTACAGGAGGCAATCAAAGGCATGGCCACCTCGTGTACCAGGCCTCAGCCACCATGCCATGTCCTCTGTCCTTCCATATCCTGCCAGCTCTGCCCTACTCAGGGACATTGGTACTCCACAGTGGGGAGGCACCAAACCCTGGAAAATACCCTCTGATCATGTCACCACCACTCTGTACTGCACGGGGGAAGTGCCCAAGAGTGGCATGGGAGGGATGCACATGCTGAGGGGGCAGCCACCCCGGCTGTGTGGGTTATCCTCGGAATACAAGAGTTGTCACCCATCACTTCAGATCTCCTGGAGATTGGGCACATCACACAGACACAAGCACCCCACCCCAGAGAAGGGGCTATACACTCAGTGAAGCCCTATTGTCACCAGCCTGAGCTATGGTGGGACACCTGCCCTTGGAATTGGGGGCTCCTCTGCCCAGAGCCATGGGCTCTTCCCAGCATTCTGCATGTTCAGTGACCCCACAGCCAGAGGATGCCTGGTAATCAATTATGACAGCTGCCCACTGTACAGATGGCCCAGGGCCATCTATACCCTGCTCTGTGTCCCTGATAGGGCAGCCTCAAAGCCTGCCTGGAGGTCATGCCCTGATGGTGTTACTCTTCCAGCATGTGGCCATATCTCCTTAGTGGGCCCTCCAGGGACCCAGGCCTGGTGGTGAGCTGCCCTTACATGTGGATCAGGACCAGAGGCAGGGAAGAGGAGCCTCAGGAAAGGGCCTGGTGGTTATTCTGTCCTGGAAGTTTATAGGCCTTGGACCCAGGGGCAGGAAGTTAGACTCAGAGGAGCGTGACTGCCTCCCAGAATCAGCAGTAAGGCAACAGCTATTTCAGTTTGGGGAAACTATTCAAAATCATGGTTTTCATGGAAATTAAATAAAATGTTAGGCAGCCTCCAGGCTGTGGGCAAATTGGGACTCAGATATTGGCTTCTGCCCTTACTCCCCCCCCCCCGCCCCCCACTGCTGGGCTTTCTGCCTGGCAGTGCCAAAAAGGGACAGAG